GGAGTCAGCAGGTTTCAACATGTTTCCCGCGAATGAGCCGGTTCTCCCCGGTAGGAGCATGTCCCAGCCTGTAATCTCTCGGACTGCGGACCTCTACTACACCTGCGCTCGGAAGAAGCACCAAATGAGCTGATCGATTAACATGCTCAAAGGAGGACGAGGACTCCACAGAATGAGAGGCAAGAAATCAAATCAGAAAGTCAAAATTGGGCGCAGTTCGGCTACGGGGGGAGGGGAAGGGGGGGGGGAGGCATTTTGCACTTTGGCTGACCCACTAGTTCCGGTTTACAGGTCCCAATCAGGTGAAATCTGTGCACTCTTGTGAAGCTGGAGCAAGCTCGTCGAGCCACCATGGGTGGTGAATCGTATTTCATTGCTTTACAGAAGTTGATAAATAACTGTTACAACGTTTGACTGTATTATTTTGTGGCCATACAAGATTTCACAGGTCTCCACTTGATGGCTCGACACGCTGATGGGAAGACGCGAAAATGCGAATTGCCCCCCCCCCTCCCCGGTCGCCGAAGTGTTTCTAAAACTCAATAAGATTATCACGTACCTCAACGACTTCCTCTTCACAACCCCACCTGAAGCTCCTGTGTCTGGGCGATCTGTGCAGGATGACGATGGCGCATCTGAAACATCACTTCATAATCTTCTTCAGAATAAGACAAAATAATTAAAAATTATGAATTTTTGAACGCGTTCGACCTGAATGCCACGATGACCCGAGTTTCGTCTTACGTGGAGAAATGAGTATTCCAGCTTCATCGCATACACCTGGCGATGTAGGGCTGTCTAAACCCGAATGATGTTCGCTTTTTAAATCTCGTGCTGATGTTGAAAACCATCGTCTTCGGAACGCGAATGACCATCGTTGACGGCGACTTCCACCACTTTCTTTGGATTTTTGTGGCGCTTCATCGCCGGATTGTGGCGATTCTGCGGCACGTGAACGGTGCATCTAGTCACTCCAACGGAGAGCGCAGTCACGGTACTTCACAATCCGGATTGAGACCGAAGCTCTTTACAAATCCACTATAATTGCATCGTTTTACTCCAATCCATGTATCTTTTTTGACATTTAATACCGCGAAAACCAAATCCGAAGATAATCGTACCGGAAGAAAAAACGAACGATTGAAGCCTAATCAGCACTAGATGAAACACAGGATAATGAGTTCACAAAAACTAGCTGTATACAGTACTCCCGAGAATTGAGCATGAAATCAAAGGTGTTGGCCCGTGGACGCACAACTGCGCGTTGTGAGGGAGCGAATCACTAGTTCAGGTAAATCGCTACGATGTGCCCAGCGTGCTGGCCTCACGAGGCGCGACTTATTTTAATTCACCCCCCCCGCAGGCATTTTCATGTTACTTGGCACCCCATTTTCTGAACTTACACTCTAGTAGGAAATACAGTAAAGCGGATAAGAAAACTGAGAAAATCTACCCCGAAATGTGATGCAATAAAGGCTGGGCTCAATCTGGTGAAACTAGATAACCTCGATGCCAAGGGCTTACTTCGCGCTGGCCATTTTGGGTGAAGTCACCTGGAAAGGTGCGCTTTTCTCATAAATGTGACCTACACTTCCTGACGCCGCGTTCGTACTTCTCTACTCGAGCGATTCAGTAGTACAACCGTGCCTGACCGCGCTTCTATTGCTAATCGCTGGACAGCAGCATCCAATTTGAGCACAATCACAGTAAAGCGGTTCAACGCGGTCGCAGAGTCCCATTGGTTAGCTATGGAGCGCGGACTACAGAGTTCAGCGATTTCCAAAGTTATCGAACAAATCGCTCAAGCCGCAAAGTATGAACGCGTCCTAAGAAAGAGGAGTAGTGCATCTTAGGAAAAAATGCAATAATTCAAGCTCCGCCCAAATGATCAGAGCGGAAATATGCCCTTGAAAACACATTTATGACGGACATACAAGGGTCGGGGCTACCGTAGGTACTAGCTGGCCCAGGAGTGTAGAAAAAAAAGCAAAATAAACAGTCGACAAGACCCTATATAAGTCTCTTCTTGAGCATGTACGAGTTCACCAGTGTTCGGACGAGTTCTCCGGAAGCTCTGGTTTGAAGTCAGCGGATCAGCACTATTTGTGCAGAAACGATTCCAGCTCTCACATAATCACCAATCCATAAGAACCCGTCCTAACGCTGGAAAACTCGTGTAAGCTGAAAAAGGGCTTTTTTAGAGTTTCTCAACTGTTCGTCTTGCTCTAAAGAACAATGGACATTGAAGGTAGACAAGTTAGCGGAGACACAAAGTTGTAGCTCGCAGCCGAAGTCAAGGATCACAGAGCAGCACGAATCCAGGGTAAGTGGATTTAGAATGAATGTGAAGATTCACCGTGTGATCGATGGTTTTAGAAAATTAAGGGCGTATCCCTCTAAATAGGTTTCCTTAGCGCGCTTCTCTCACGTCATTCACTCAAGCACACAACGGATATGTCAATCGAAATCGGCTTAAACTAGTGACATTTCAACTAAATCACATACGAAAGTGCAAACCTGAAAAAGTCAGCTCGAGATTGCATTTCAGTGAAAACTAGCGCAGCAAACTAGTAACCAGCAGGTTTTCATACACTACTTTTGTCAGGAAGTGAAGAGGGCGGGTCCCTGAAACTGTTCAACTTTCCACTGAAGCGCAAGGTGCTCGCAAGGTGCGCTATAAGTGGGAAGGTAGATGATCTAGGAGAGGGGTCAGAAACGAGCTCGCGAGCAGGACGGTTTTGGGGGTGCATCCTGTTATCCTGTTCCCTTCTTGACACATCAATTTTTCAAGCGGTGGGGAAGGGGGAATACTGAAGTGACAGGTCTGAAATGCACCCAAAATTAAGAACCTGATTCTCAAGTACTGGTCCGACAAACAGGAAGCAGTCGGGTGGCGCAATCATGAGTGCAGCGATTGTGGACGTTCAGATTACGTAACACCTGTTCAAGACAACACAGTTTCAATCAAATAAAATGGGGAAATAAATCAGAGGAGTCAGAAACAAAACTTCGCACTCGCCATTAGTTCCATAAAGTTAGACGTTTCGAAGGACGCACTTCATGCTGGGGGGGAGTGGGGGGCGCTATTTTGCAACTTTTTGCTACGCGGAATGATACCAGCCAAAGCCACTTGTCAGCTCTCGTAAAAAAAATACCTGCCGACTCTTGTAAAACAACAGCACGACGATTAAAAGTAGCGAAAGTGTAAAATGCCCCCTCAGCCGAACTAAGTCGTATTCTAGTTCTGCAGGTAGATTGATTCTGATACGTCTACAGCAGCCGTAAGAACAGCGCAAACGCGCGGCGGCATTAGTTCTTCGTCCCGCCAAAGCCCTCCTTAGCGGCGAGAACTAAGCGTTTATATTCGTCAATAGAATTCCCAATAATTTCCGCACACACGTTTTTTTTACGAAGTTGAAGGAAAAAATTCGTGGAGCATGGTGACAAATGGTGCCAACGCTGAAAATGCAAATCACACGTTCGAGAGAAGTTGAGGAGGGGAACTTATGAACGAGTTTTCACAACAAAATTTCCTAATTTACTATCTAAGAGTAAAGGGGGCATTTTATTGGAAGAATGGGGTGGGGGGATCGGAGAAAAACTGATATACTTTGAGAAACAGGAGAAATCTATAAAACCCAGGAAAGTCAGCAACCAAACACATTTTGCTCAATGGCATATACTCTTCCTCTAACGACCAAATATGACCTTCTGGGGATGACAACTTACGACGTGCCCTGTTCCAGACAGATTCTTAAACATCTCTACACAGTTCTTAAACATCTCTAACACAACATAAGATCATTATACATAGATAGCAAAACAATGTGCTGAGGAAAACGGAAGAAAACTCTGTGTGTTCAGCGACGGCGTCCAGCAGGTGCGCCTTTAAGCCAAAGAAAATGGGGTGCGTGCTCAGCAAATGAATAAAGACGTTTGCTAAACTATAAAAATCCCGAAAATGAAGAGAAAATGGTGATGACATTTCATCTGCAGGGGTCGGCTCTGCTCACGACTGACATTAATTTTTGGCACCGCCGAACTTGCATGAAAACCAATCGAGACTTGCACTTCGTGTAATCAAGGTCCCAGGCGCAAACACTTCATCAATTTTTAATACCTGTCCCAAGAAGGCCCGTCGTCTTCGCTATCAGGGCTACTCGATTCTTTCAGAAGTGCAAGTTCCTGGACGAAACTTGAAGTAATCGAATTGGTCTTCGTTGGCGTCGGGATGTGAGTTTCAGAACTAGCGTCCGGCATTCGATTGCTATCCAAGTTGGGCGCTGTCCTGGATATTCATATTGATTCTTGAGGTCCAACAACATTTGCGTGGGTTTTAACCAATTCGGGTGAAAAAAAGCCTGGCTTCAAGTAGTGTCGCAGCCAAGAATGAGAGTCACGTTCGTGATCAGCACATCGAGGAGTCCTATAGATGCGCAATTTCAGCGAAACACCAGGCTTGTTCCTCGCTGCTGAAGGGTCCGTTTCAGGTGAGCGCTAGGTTTGACGCGTCGCCACCCCTTCTCCACCACTTGTTGAAGCTATAGGCGACTGGCTGAACGGCTGATACAAACGATGTGATACAGTTCTTGTCGCTCGCCAAAAAAAAGAGAAGAAAAAATGTCGGAGCCGCCAAACAATCCCCCCCCTGACACGGTGTCGCAGTGAACAGAAACTTTAAGACGACTTAGCGATTGCAGGCAGCTGAATAGAGCCATGTAAGACCATTCTACGCTGCGATTCACATGGCGACCTTCTCTGACGGATAACACTAATCAAACTGGATTGTTTTTCTGTCGTATGTTTTCTTAGAAATGAATGTCGAGCGGATTTCTCTCGAAATTGCTCCATTGCAAAGGGCACATTCACATTCATGTCACGAGAATTGATGACATTTGATAGAGCTCTATACCGCAGATTGACTGTCGTATACACCCTAGGATTCTCTACGATATTTTTGCATAGGCAACGTTGGCGCGATCCTTCGAAGCGAAGGTCGGTGTGGAGAAAATGGTTTGGGTCTGTGGAGAACTCTGTGCAAGTTCCGTGCCAGAAAGTCGTAAGTTAAGGGCGTTCAAGTATAAGGGCGCGGAGCGTTACTTGCCAGTTGCGGCAAAAATAGGCGCTGCAAGCAGAGTGACAAACGCAGCATCCAGATTAGGACCCCACCCACCCAACATGCCGCATGGACTCTATCTCATAAGCTAACTCATAAGTACTCATAACTCGTATTGCCATGCTGCTGGGGGACATAACTCCACTTAAAAGGTGGCATGTGTGGCGGACACCGCTCAAATGTAAGTAGTTGTCGCATTGTCGCTTGCTCGATGGTGAGGCTCAAAGGTGCTCTTTTCTGAACTATATGGCCCGGGAAATCATCGCATTGTGTCCTCGTCGGTCAAGACAGAAGAAGCCTCATTCTGACGGACTTTGACAGTTTCATCTTTTTTAACTGGCACGTCCAGCTAAACATTAGCCCACTTTTTTCACTCCCGGCTACCCAAGTGGCGTTTCGCATCCTGCCCGGCCGTCACGTTGAAACCTGCCTTCAATTCTAAGCGAGAATGGCCTACAAAAGATGGGGTACGCCTTCGTTTGACACGACCCAAACATAACCATTTCCTTAAGAAGATACCATTGTCTCCACTACCGGTAGTGAACATGAGGTTCAAATATGAGTTCAGAAAAGCTGGTGCCTTGTAAGTCGAGAAAAAAGAAGACGAAATCGTTGAAGACGCATCAAATTTAGCCCTAGAAGTGGACGAACATTCGATGAAGCAAAGCGCCGCTGCGCAGGAGAGAGACCTGGGATGACGAACTGAAGACGGACGAGACAACAAAGGTAGCCCGCAGAGAATGGAACTGCAGCATCACTATAGTGTTTCCTGAATCTATGACAGCTGGCATACCCCGTCCTCAGTTGGGTGACGTGAGTTCTGTGGGTGACGTTTTGACGTTTCTTGG